GTCAAACAAAAATAATATATTTATTATATTTTTTAAAGAGAACATAAGTTGTTTCTAACAAATTGGTAAAAATGTAATGATATTTACTAAGTAAAGACATAAAAAAAAATAAAAGCAAAAAATAAAATAAATAAAAAGAAAAAATAAATGAGGCCTGTCTCTATCCCGCCCTGAACCTGTCTCACCCAGTCCCGTCCCATCCCGTCCAGCTTTAAAAGGGTATGAGGATGAGGTAAGGAAACAAAAATACTCGATGAGATAGGAGTGGAAATGATCGACTCGTCTCATATCCGCCTCGTTGCAATCCCTATGCAGGCAAGTGTGTGCGGTGAACTTTGGGCTCAGACCCATTGCCTTTATGTTTGCCACAAGAAAGGAGATTGAAGAAGGACTCTACCTCAAACCAGTTGGCAGTCTTTGTTTCTGTGGATTTTGAATCGAATAATCCATCTGGGTCAAGTTTGAAGTAGTTAGTCTTGATCTCCTACTGCTCATTCTCCAATATATCAGCATAAAATTGGGGAGTAAAAATAGAAGAAACACCTCCACAGAGCAGTTTTTAAACCCTCCGGAACCTTTTCCAATCAATTGCAGCTTGCTAAGCAACTGAGTGGCTAGGTTCCGACGTCATTTTCTCGATGGAGACTTTCCCATCGATTCTTGCATTAACACGAAAGTTGTCATCGACCGAGAAATCTACTCCATTTTCAAGGTATAACCTAAATTAATCTCTCTAGTATGCATGAGCGAGCTCCATTCATAGTCCTAGAAAAAGATCATTTCTATCAGATTTGGTTGTACTTCAAGCTTGATAATTTCTTTCCCTTAATCCATAGCTGAATATGTTGGGAATTTACAGCATAATAAGGAATCCAATAGCATAATAACAGACTCCAAAACCTATCTCAAGCAGAGTTTTAGCATGTTCATGAAATTTGAATCATCAAAGTTCAATACCCAATCTTTAATTCAACAATAAGCTAGAATCCAGCATGCATTATATGTATACAACCAAAGGCAGAAACCAAGTCCAGATTCAATATTACTATAACAAGGAAATCAACACAACAAAGTAATCATAGACTTTATGTGAAAAACA